ACAGTAACAAAGCATTGAAATGATCGTTGTGAGAAAGGCGACTAGTCTCTTATAAAACCAAATAATGATAATCTTTACTGGCATTACAATACTGAATGATAATATTACCATTTTAATAATACTTAATGATAATATTTACTAATATTATAATAACCAATAATAGCATGACAATACAAACCATTTTTGAAATACTAATCTCTTACGAAACCGAATAATGATAATAATAACATTCACAATCGTTACAGTAATAATTAATAGTAATATGACAATATGGACCACGAAGAACATTGGCAAACATCATAAATCGTGTCATTTTCAACAAGCATATCAAATTGCATTTGATCTAGCGAACATACCATGTTGAATAACAATAATATTTACTACCATTATAATAATACTTGATAATAATATTTTTGAGGGATCCGGATAGGATCCGCTCTATTCATCGGTAGGTATTTTCGTCCGGAGATTTTAGTGGGGGCCGCTTTATTTTCTATGAAGTAGTGATTCATGTGCGTTTGTTGGTATTCAGATGTTTTAATTTTCGTCATCAGTTCAGAGCCAGATATGTCGTGGTACTCTCTTTAACTGATCAAACAGTGTGGATCTCATTCTCCCACAAGGAGTGGACTTCTCTCTTGTCCACACATGATATGGCATATGGCCGCTGAAATCCTATACAACCATCAGAGATTCTTTCAATTCTACCTCCGTTCAAAAATTCCCACATATGATCGCAACCTGTCACAATATCAGGCTGCTCCTTTCCTTTGTAAACAGCTCATCGTCCACTGTTCTGCCATTAATTTCGATTTAGCAACTTATTCGAGAACATTTGACGATAAATTCGCTGAATTCCCAAAAAGATTGCTGGATGATCTACTGCTTTCAGCTGATGACATATTTTGTTAAGACTCTGAGTTAGTCTTCCGATACTTTCTGTCGTTCTCCTAGATCTGGAAAGGCTCTTAATGTGGGCATAAAGGGCTTTACCTACGATATTCACGTCCCGAATCGATCACGCAATATGTCGAGTGCTTCACCGCAGGAAGCATTGGTTACGAGTAAACCTTCTGATGCTGCCCTCGCCTTTCCTTGCGGAGTAGACAAGAGATGGGTGAATTTGGTGACATCGGCAACATTTCGTTGATGGACCAAGTTATTGAACTGGTCCCAATAACTTTTGTACTCGAGGGGATTGCCGTCAAATTTCGGCAGTGCTATCGTCGGTAAACTGACACTCATTTCAATTTCAGTTGGTGTGGTCCTTCCTTGTCCACTCTGATTAACGATTGATACTGACAGTCTTTTGCGAAGTTCTATGGTTCTACTTAGACTTGCCTCTAAATAATCGATACTATCTTCTGCCTCATTGACAATCTCGAAAAAGTTTTGATCTCTTGGAGCACACTTACTCTTCATAAACTTCTTCATTCTTTTTCTCTTTCCAGCCCAATACGGAAACAATTTGTATCCATTCTTCAGGCTCTACTAGAAGGATACTCACTTTGCTTCTCAATGTTTTTAAAGCGTTCTTTAGCCTCAGCTTTCTTGGGTCGAGGTCTCTAACATCTTCATCATAATTCGTCAAATTCGTCAGTATTTTCTTGAGCTTCCTACGGTTTAGGTCTACGACCTTTCTAATACCCATTCGAATAATTCAGGTTTTCGAGTGGCATCAAGAACTGGTTGATTTATGAAGAAGTTGATTGTCAACGAAACAACAACGAGAACATAAACGAAAAACTTTATTTATATAGAAATTATTATCAATAATATTCATATTCTTTCGGGAAAAAAACGCACAAATAAAAGTAAGTAAAAATAATGAAACAGCGCTGTATTCAATGAATGATAATAACAGAAAAGAGAAGAGTGCAATTGAGTTATTAATAACGCGAAATATCAAAAAAAAAACGAATACAAAATTTGTGCATACAATCGTCTCTCTTTTGCCATTATCACGGTGCAATTAAAGTCGTTTCTGCAATAAAGATACATCTTTTTGTTGAAGAATACAATAAACAAACGAAGAGATAACGGCAAACAACTGAGTAGTATTTCAGTATCGAAGCACAGTTAGAAATAATGATCATAATGACGATGATAATACGATAGGATTCTTGTTCATGACACCTTTTGTAATGCTATCATCAAATAACTTTCATAAACTCGTTACAATAGTGATTTTAAAAAACGCAATAAATGTTATATGAAATAAAGGAGAGTCAAAAATAATATTCCCCTCAAATCAACGATAATAGCGATCAATCTTATACGAATTCTTGCATAAAACGATTCAAAAAACAACACGCTTCCACGAAAAAACAAACAAATTTCACAGTAAAATGATTATGTACGAATGTCTTTGCTGCTTAAACACATTATTGTTTTTTAACCTCTTTCGCAGCGAAACGAACCATAACGATGTAAAGAGAACGATGTGAAAACGATTAAGATGTTGAAATACAACAGCAGTAATAATGATAGCCATAAACAAAACAATTAAGAATAATTGTAATAATAGCAAAAATAATAACAATGAAGAATTCGAGGCATCAGAGAAGATGAAATAAACGAAAATAAACAAATTACAACGGATTATCATACGGCACTTTCGATATTCAGACGATGTCACAAACATATTGCAATTAATCAATTCAGAAAGTTGATTAATTCAATTAACTTAAAGTAAACTTCGAACATTTATTTATGTATATTTGTCAATATTGGCTTGAATAGAGTCATTACTCACACTCAAAAAAAATTTACTGATGGCTTAGAAATTGATTGAACTGATCACAATGTTCAACAACATTTGATTCGAAGTATCAACTGAATAAGAATGGACAACTTTTTTAAAACTTCGATAATTTTTTACGTTTCAGAATCAGAGAAATACCGAAAGGCATTATTACTGAAGTATACCCCCCGAAAACATCAGAGAAGTTTAAAGTACGAGCCGTTCTGCCAGTTCTCTGCTTCGTTTGCTGTTTGAACTGTATTAAATGAGCAATTCAGTGAGGAAGGTGTCTGATAGAAGAACAGAAAATGAAACACAATGATTAAAGATTACCAACAAATCAACTGATTCAACGTAAAAACAAAAACACCATCTAATACCGAACAAACACAGAAACAATCTCTCGAAAATTAGAAGTTTAGTTTCATATAAACATTTCAAAGCAGAACATCAGCTAACAGCTAACCAACCCATCAACTGAGTTCTACGATCAATATCTAAATATCTCCTCAAGTCAATCAACCACCGTATCATTCACTTCTCTCAACAAATCAAAATCCCAACTCAACAAGATTCAAACATCGAAAACAATACTGCTACCACAATATCGAATCGTGCACACATTCGCCAATAACTAAATGAATGGTGATAAGGGAAAATGAAAAATTTCAAATACGCAACCATCAAAACAAAAATCAGTGTACGCATGATCACATACATAAGCATATAAATGAATACTTCTATAAGTAATTCTAAATTGATTTGTCACAGCGGTTGATCTAGTCATGCTTAAATCTCATGTGATATTAACATAACACCTCTTATCGACCAATCCATAACTTTCATCATGATGCTCACATAACTCTTGAAACTTTTTACTTAATCTCAACTTTTCCACATTAACCATATGATTAATCTGTAATCAACTTCTTTTCCCGATCCATTTTTTCACTCAATCAACCCAATCATACTGGCTATATTCCATTTATAATTATTATAATAGTCATAAGCGACAAGATTTTTTTATCAGTAACATTATCTTAATGACAAGAATAATAAGAATTTTAATACTGGAATAGGACTGCATAATATAGACTACAATCACGATTGTGATTTTGATGATAATCATAATTCTCATCAAGATAACGGTCTGAATGTTAATAACAATTGTCATAAGCAGAAATTTATAGAATAATGTGGTACATAACATAAATGTTGGTAATAATGCTGAATTTATTGATCATTAGATCAGCTTATTGAATTTCTGCATTTACTCACTGAAGTGCCTCAACTTGATGATGAAGTGCCGTATCGTCGCCTAACAATCACTGACCTAGCAAATGAACAAAATCAATTCCAGTCAATGACCAATCAATTGACTGCCCACGCACTCTGTCTGTATCACAAACGAACAAACGAAAAAAACGATTCAAGTGTAAACTTTACCATATATAAAATAATGATCATATATATGGCTAGTCAAAATATTTATAATAAGGCAGCTGTTATAGCAAATTGTTGTAAACGAAAAAAGAGAAGGAACAGAGAAAAAAAANAAAAAAAACAAAGAAAATAAATGATTTAAAATGAACTCTTTCAGTTTAACAAATCAAGAAGTCCGCACAAATAATATAATGTAGTTTGATATTATATAGGTATGGTAATTATAATGATAACAACAAAACTGACGATGACAAAACATATTTGTAAATGTTATAATTAACACCACAATAAACTGTTATCCATGTTTTATCCTTCAACTATTCTAAATCCCTGTGATCCACCACATTTCACACAGAAGTCGTGAATCAAAACGAACTGCTCAAGCAAACAATCTGTTTTTCCTCAAAACAACGCAACAAATTTCCCCAAAAATATCTCACCAAAATCATGGATAACAATTCAAAAACAACGCAGATATTATTAAACTCATATAATATCACGCACGCATTCTCGGTTATACGAATAATCCTTAATGCCCATTCAAAATAACAGAATGAATTCAAATTAATATGATCGCAAATCACATCATAACAACACACATAAAATATACTATGTAAAACTTAACTAAACAACATTCACTATACCATCATACCACTACTAATGCATCTACCATAAAACTTTATGATGACCTAATAACAAACACAATCTGAACTTAGATTTGCATGAACACATTTACACACCCTCATAAGATAATCTCACCTCAGCTATGAGGAAAACTCACCCAAAACCGATGAAGCATTTCCCGAATATCTGCTTCATGACTGTACTCAGACAGTTCTTAAACTATTCGCAGCGATGACAGCCTCATCCGAACATCGATCTCGATTGCATCTCCTAATCCATCCTTATGAAGCGTTTTGAATTCCGTAGCTTATAGATCAAACCGCAGATAGAATCTATCAAAATAAACTATCTACCATGCATCAACCATGCTAAACTGAATAACTGTTTAACTATTTTCAATACTAGTATCTGACTATTTCGTAAAAAATGATCAATAATGCTAGCTAGACCTCTAACGAATGCGAAATAAATTTCACCATTTGAATGTCATCAAAAAATGTTTCCAATTCCATCCTTCGTTCATTGTCGTCTTTGAAGAGGCATCCGAAGTATTATTTTGACTGGTTCCCACTAAAATCCACGCAACACATCCAATTCAGCCCTTCATTCACCTAACAATTCGAAAATATTCCCCTAAAACCCGCCGAGGAAGTGGTGATGATGATGACTGACGATTATAAGTGCATGCAGTAACAACGAAACACAACAAATCTAAAACAATATGTTTAAAAATGGAAACTGCACCGATTGATTATAATGATTTCGATAATAATAATAATAATAATAATCTTAACAATGATAACAACAAAATAAGAACGATGATAAGACGAGAATATTAACGATAATTGGTTAGCTATATATATGTATATGTGAAAAGAAAAACACCAATTATAATCCGTTTGCAATCAAAAGAAATTTCTGAAGATTAGAAAGAAAACTGAACAAAAACCAACAACAAATAACAACGAGCCGTGATGCCGACAATACAGTCAGTCGCGTTCACGAAAAACTTCAAAGTAAACATCATCATTAACTGTATTCAACTCACTCATTGCTACCTCTCAAAAAATTCCATCATTCAATCTTGAAAACCCATTGAAATATGTTCACTTCACTCAATTTTTCATCAAATCCAAACACATTCACAACGCTCCTCAACCCCATCCATCGAACAACGAACAGAACACGACCTCTTCTGACTACTCATACTGTCGCCATCATCCAAAAAAAGGTAAGTCATATGATAAATAACAATGAACAAAAAAAAAACAAAGAAGATGACATGTTGAAGAAATAAATGAAATTTAGTAGACAAATACACAATGAATTTTTTTTTTGAATTTTCAGTGCGGTACATTTGAGAGAAATAAATGTATTATAATAAATTTAGGGTTGAATGATTAAACAAACGATGAAACAGTCACAAACAATTCGAGCAGAAATTGAATCCTTCACTAAAACAAAACAAACGGTTAGAAGAACTGAAGCATTGATTGATCGCTACAACAACAATATTAACGAAAACAACATCTAATAACTAACGCTAATAATAATAACAACAATAAGATGCACACTGCACACCGCCAACCGAACAAAAACCCATTTTCAACACCAAATCAACACA